CTGCATGTGTGGACCCTTCATGGATGGCTTCCCTGAAGTCCACCTCTTTATGCTCAAACAAACTCCAGGGAATCAGGACACAGGTGTGCAAGACCTGTGATTCCAGCAATGAGAAGCTGAGGTTCGAACTCATGGTCTAGATGGAGTTGGGTGCTGCAGAAGACCTCCTGAGCAGGAAAAGAAGACAGGAGGTGGCATTCAGAAGGAGGCTGGCAGTCAGGTCAGGAGGGAGGGATGGACGGAAAGGGAGAGAGGCATGGTGGTCAGTGAAGAGCAGAGGGTCATTGGGGGTCAGGGAGGGCTGTGGGGGGTCATGGAGAGCCAGAGAGGGTCAGAGAGGGTGGGAAACACAGTGTGTACGAGAACCAACTACCCAAGGTGGAAGGTTCTGATGGATGGAAGAGGGCGGTGGGTGAGTCCAGGATTACAGAGTACAACTTGCCCAGGACTTAAGGACAGAAGCTGGACAAGAGGGCGGGCCTGCAGCCGATCAACACGTGTACCTGCACCTTTTCAAGTGTCTATGAAGCCCAAGCGTGGCCAGTGATGACATACATTGAAAGAAAGGATTCTCCAGGCCTCAGCCACCACCCCTCAGGCCACCCACCCCTCCCCACATCAGTGGGAATCAGTTTAGCAAACACACAGGAAAAAAATAATCAATTCATTTAATTTAAAACAGCAAGAGTTTGGACTTTCACCCAGCCAGGGTTAACATCATGCTTCCAAACAATCTCATGCTAGACTTAATTGCGCCACAACTGTGAGTTTATAAAAACATATGAAGAAGGGCCTGAGAGACGGCTCAGCAGTTAGGAGCATTTGCTGTGCTTGCAGAGAACCCTGTTTTAGTTCCCTCTACCCTCTGCTCACAACTACCCATAGCCCCAGTTTCTGGGGGTCAGCCTCCCTCTGGCCTCCAAGGGCACTGCACACATATGTGCACTTACATACACGAAAGCATTCACACACACACACAAAAAAAAACAAAGTAAAGACAAACAAATGGCTTCATTTGCACTCTAAGCTTCGGACACATGTAATCTTTATTATTCTTTTAAGAGAGAGAGAGAGAGAGAGAGAGAGAGAGAGAGAGAGAAAGAATGAACTAGAAGGCTTCAGAAAGTTGGCTGGGTTTGGTGGCATAGGCCTGCAATTCCAGAAACAGTGAAACTGAGACAGGAGGATCTCAAGTTCAAGGCCTGCCTGGACAACTAGTGAGAACCCCTTGCTTCAAAACTCAAAAAAGGACTGGGAAACAGCTAAGTACTAGAGCACTTGTCTAGGACGCACAAAGGCCTAGGCTTAATCCCCTGGCCAAATTTTATCTCCAAAAATTATATAGACATATATACATAAACCTATTTTGTGATATAGACATACATCACAAAAATATATATGTATATACATTGTATATATTGTGGTATATATACATATGCATATATATGGCAAATATATGCATATATACACATATAAACATTTTTGCAATAGGCATACATACATATCACAAAATATATGTATATATTTGTGTATATATAGTATGCATATATATTGAGATATATACATATATACTGCAAAATATATATGTATACACACACATATATACAAACATATTTGGTGATATGTATACATATCGCCAAAAAAAAAAAAAAAAGCCTCAGATGGACAGAGGCAGGAAGCAGCTGGCAACTGACCAGGAGAACGAGAGTCACAAAGTGCTGACAAAGGGTGATGGGGACATGGCAAGGGCTGTAGCACCCGTTAAGGCTGAGGTCACATTTGGGTGACTGAGGGGCAGATGCAGATAAATGTGAATAACATTAATATTAATATTAATAGAGATAGAAAGCCTCCAGACTGAGCAAGGCAACATGGGAGCTGGCAGCCTCTAGTGCCTCCCCCTGGCACTGGGGACCCACTCACCTTCCTTTTGTCTTCGGTTCTGAACTCTGAGCACCCTCCACACCCACTAAGGTTGATGTCTGTGAGCTCACAGGGCTAGAGGCACCAAGCCTGGGGTCACCACCATTCACCTGCAGTGACAGGGCAGTGTGGGAGAGGATGGAGGGAGCCAAAGTGTCGACTTGGTGGAGGGTTTTACAGACAGCTATCCTGTCATCAGTCATCAAAGAGAGAGCTTGAGTGAGCCCCGGGCTCCAGCTAGGGCATGCTTTCTAAGGCCCCGGATTCCAGCTAGGGCATTCTAAGACCCCCGATTCCAGCTAGGGCATTCTAAGACCCCCGATTCCAGCTAGGGCATCCTAAGGCCCCCGATTCCAGCTAGGGCATGCTTTCTAAGGCCCCCGATTCCAACTAGGGCATGCTTTCTAAGGCCCCCGATTCCAACTAGGGCATGCTTTCTAAGGCCCCCGATTCCAGCTAGGGCATCCTAAGGCCCCCGATTCCAGCTAGGGCATTCTTTCTAAGGCCCCCGATTCCAGCTAGGGCATTCTTTCTAAGGCCCCCGATTCCAGCTAGGGCATTCTTTCTAAGGCCCCCGACTCCAGCTAGGGCATGCTTTCTAAGGCCCCCGACTCCCTCTGCAGGCTTTTTCTGAACAAGGCCTCAGACAGCCAGGGCTCCACAATGCCCTGCCCAGCTGGGTTTATTCCAATATCATTTCCTCTGTGGTGTTTGTAGATCATTTTCTCCTCTGCAGGAAACAAATTCCTCAAATTTCGGTTCCATTTTAGAAGCCAGGGGACCATGCTTGGCAGTGCACAAATTGGCTGTTATATCCTCACAGGACCTCAGCATGCCCTACGCCCGACGTTGGCTGTTTCTGTAAACAGACAGCCCCCTGCCCAGGAGCTGTCTTTGACTCCCAAGAGGGAGCCCACCTCTTGCAGATTTTCCTAAAGAAATGCTTTCTAGGGAAATCAGAAAAGGAGCGTATGGACACAGTCCTCTGAGTGACTATTCCTTTCCTGAGAGAGATGTCGTTTTGAGAGCAAAATGGGAATCGATGGCCCAGTGTGGCTCTGCTCTCACCCTGAGCCGCTTTACTGTGCTCTGTGACCCTCTCAGCTTTGCGGGGTACCGACAGAATCCAAGGGCACAGGTATAGCAGAACGTTTCCTCGACCGGCCGCAAGGTGGCGGTCACACTTCCCGTTCTGAGTGCTCTCTGAATCGAGGAAGTGCAGCTGGAAGAGCCACTGAGTAGAAACGGACACACAGCTCACTTATGCTCTTCTCTGGTGGGGCATGGTAGTCCAAGGCTGTAATCCTAGCTTCCTGGGAGGTTGAGGTAGGAAAATCACAAGTTCAAGACCAGCCTGGCTGACAGGGGTTCAAGGCCAGTCTAGGCAACTCTGTCTCAAAACAAAAACTAAAAGGAAGGCTTGGGTAGAACCCAGAGGCTGAGCACTTGCCTAACGGACACAAGGCCCTAGTACAGAGAGCACAAAACAAAACAAACAAAACATTTTTTAAAGATGTAATTATTGGGAGGCAGAGGCAGGTAGATCTCTGTGAGTTAGAGGTCAGCCTGGTCTGCATAGCAAGTTCCAGGCCAGCCAGAGCTACGTAATGAGATCCTGTCTCAAACAATAAAATTAATGTAATCATCTCAGAATCCTCTTTCCATATGCCACAAATAACTACAAAAAAAAAAAAAAAAAGGCTTTTAAAATATTTTTGGTGCAGGGACCAACCTGGCAACTACCACTGAGCTACATCCCAGCTCAAGGCTGAATCTCAAAACACTTCCCTTCGGGAGGAATCAGTATTTGGACCGTTCGCCAGCTCTCCGATCACCTTTCCTACAAAAAAAAAAACAAAACAAACAAACAAAATACAACTAAACAAAGTCAGACGCCCTCCCAACTCACCCCTACGTGAATCACTGAGAACAGGGGTGAGTGAAATAGTGTCGTCCTTAGGGACTAGAGCTGAGCTGCCGTCTGTCCTGGTACTGGAAGGGACCTGGATGTTATGTGATTGACTAACGGGACAAGACTCTGGACTCTGGCCTGTGCTGAAATTCAATGCAATAAATATTGAGGGCCTATGACCCTAGCAGAGAACCCGGGAGATGCCCATGAGTGTGTGCCTGGGTGCCATGAAGGAGTCTCCTGTGACCTCCGTGGACTGGGGACTGTTCACCTCTAACTACTCCAGGCTCTCCAGGGGATCTCAGTTCCCTGGCAAACCTGGACCCCATTCTGTGATGTCTGGGTAGACGCATCTCTGTAATCCATGACACATTATCAGTCACCTGTGGGAGAGGTCCATGGATCTGAGTCCCTCAGACAGTGAACAGTGCCGGTGGCCGCAGGACACTGAGAACCAGTGCCCTGACAGAATCCTGCATTGCTGGCGTCCCGAATCCCACATCTTTGGGCTTCCACAAATAAACCCCACTGAACCGGGACACGGAACCAGTACGCGGGTGTCCACGGCCTGCCTGAGAAGAGGAGGTAGAAGAGGCTGCACTGATGGCCGTTCCTTCACGGGGGTGGGTCCGAGCTTCACCAGTTGAGGCTTCCAGTGCGCATGACCCTGTCTCCGCAGCATGAACCAGGAAGGCGGCGCCGGTGTGGTGCGAGCAATGAGGAAAGTCAACCCCTCAAGTGCTGGGAACTTCTGGGATCAGTCCGGATTCCTGAGATTCTCTCATCCTGGGGGGAGCAGGAGCTCCAGAGGGGTTCTGGGTCGAGGGCTGAGGATAGCAGCGGCAGCAGAAAAGGGAGAAGAGCCTCGTGCGGACTGCGCGGGTGCAGAGGACGAACATGATGCAGTTGGCCCCTCCCTGGAAGGTGTTCCCGATGCCCTGGGGAGGGGGAGAGGCATAAGCACAGGGTTGGGGGTATCTTAGAAACACAATCAAGGGGAGTCAGTGGACTGCTATGAATCCTATGACCTTTCCTGTCCCTGCCCCTAAGCTGTCACGGGATGAGCGCAGACAGGTGGCCTTAAAGCAGATTCTGGACAGGCCTGAACTGGCCACCTAGCCAGACCTGCATTTAGGCCTTCCGCAGTGAGAAGGATCCAGGATCAGTCAATTCTACCAGGACTTCTCTGGGTTGTTGAGAACAGCCACACAAGATTTCTCCCCATCCCTCCCTGCAAAGCTACACTTGCTTGGGGACAGGGAAAGGACACTGAGCTATCCTGTTTCCCATAGGCCCATCCTGGCCAACACCTGGGACCTGAGATCATCAGTGTGTAGGGAAGGGATCTGGCCCTGCCACTGCGGGGCAGCAGGGCCCACGGACAGACATACATGCAGAACAACCAGCACCGGAGACTGCACAGCTGGGGAGCCACAGAGGGTCAGGGCGAAGCGCACGGTACTCCAGACCCGGAGGCAGATGAATATGAGGGGAATCAGGATCAGTTTCTTATCAGCCATGGCGGAGGAGCCCCGCTGCAGCTGGCGCCCCTCCCAGATGGGCCGGTACTCCGAGAGCGCCTGGTGCTGTGTCAAAGACAGAGAGCAAAGACCTGAGCCAGGGGTGCCTCTTACCACAACCACCCATGCACGTCCACACGCCCACCTGCCCACACGCCCACACATCCACACACCCACACACTCACAAGTCCGCACACCCACATGCCCACACCAGCCCGGAAGAGCAAGAGGGGGTACTGTTGCCTTTTCCACTTGGACACTGAGGCCTGGAGTCTATCAGACCAGGAGCCATCCCCCAGCCTCAACTCCCAGATGGGATCCCCTGCCCACTTCCTTCACATGGCCACAGGAGTGTCTCAGAGATGTCAGAAGCCCTGCCCGGGATGAGTAAGTCATCTCAGCCCTTAGGTCTAGTGCACACTCGTTTCAGCTCAGAGACACTTCATCCTTCCTGTCACCATGTGGCGTCATCTTTTCTTCCCCAGTCACACCTGACCTACAGGCAAGTCCTAAAGGCCCCCACCTGCAGAACAGACCCGGAAACTGGATCCTTGGACCCACCGCCACAGAAGGATCATCTTGTCTGTTTGGTCTCCCCTGCCCCTCCCCCAGGCCATCCCCAGCGCAGGAGGGGAGTTCTCAGAGGGTCTGAGCAGGTTTGGCAAGTCCTCTACTCAGAGCTCTTGGTGGTTCCGTTTCAACTCTTCCTTATGCTATCCCCTCAGGTGAGCTCAGTTCTGACCTCAGTCCCATTCTCTCCCTTCCCTCTCTTCCAGCCACATCGCTCTCCTCCAACCCCAGGTCTCAGCTGGTCCTCGTATCTGGAGAAGCACGCCCAGTTACTCACAGCTCCCTCACCTTCCGGTCCTTACTCAGGGTCACATTCTGGATGAAGCTCACAAGCAGCCATTTTGCAAATAGCCCTGAGCCCATTCCAGTCACGGACTGCTGTCTGTTTTCCGTGGTTCTTCCCGACCTCCACCCCCTGACATCACTCACCCTTGTTGCTCAGCTTACTGGTGCCATCCCCCTCCCCCTCCTCCCTGCCCAAAGCAAGATTGCCCACAGAAGGGGTGGAGGAAAGGAAGGAGCCAGCCTTGGCTCGTGCATTCCTGAGGACCGTTTCTCATAGCAGGGAAGGATGCTCAGTTTCAAATCACAATCAAATCTGTAAGGCCGACTGAACTGGCCAATGAGAGGTGTCGCTCTGAGCCTGGTCATGTGTTTAGGACACTGAAGCTGGTGAGGGAATAACCATAGGCCTGGCATCTGAGTGTCAAGCTTGGACAGCTCACCTAATTAAAGGGCCCACCTCCTCCTCCCCTGAGGGTCTGTGACAGTAGCCCGGGGAGCTGAATGTCCACCTCACAAGATGGGGAGGGGCAGGGCAGAGAGTTCAAAGGAGGTGGTGCAGCTTGGGGAAGCTGGACCAGCTGGGCGGCTCCTCAGAACCAAGCTCGCCTCCCCATTTATCTTCGGCTCTCCCCCATCTCCAGGCAGGAATGACTATGTTCTCACCTCCTTGTCCACTTCATTCCTTTTCTTTTCTGAAAACCCTTGCCAAATTGCAAGAGTTGACTGTCGCACGCAGGAGCCACTCTGGCAAGCAGGGGCCTCCTGCCCTGCTCTAGAAAGGACAAAAGGTACACCCAACAGGATGGAGCCTGGTGGGATTGGAGGGGGCCGGCTTCATTCTCCAGAAGCGCCTCCATCTTCCCAGGTTGGTGGGAAGTGAGAAGAGCATTCAAAGAGGTTGGCCATTTGATAGAGCACTCATTCAGCACATATGACGCCCTGGGTTCGATCCCCAGCACTGCAGAAACTGGCGTGGTGCAGACCTTTAATCCTAGTACTTGAGAGGTGGAGGCAGGAAGGTCAGACGTTTACCATTATCCTGAACTCTGTAGTGAGTTCCAGGCCAGCCTGAACTACATGTGACCTGCATCTCAACAACAACAAAACAAAGCAAGACTCTGTCTCAAAAAAAAAAAAAAAAAAGGACATAAACGAAAGGAAATGAGATTCTCATAGACTGGAGTCTGAATTCAAGGGAAAGCTGTGACTGCTTCGGCCACTGATTGGTTTATCTTTGACCATAATTGCTTAGGCTTCACCTCTCTGAGGACCAGCCTCTCTTTCTGGATAGCCCTAATGACTTATGATCTCCTGAAAAGCCTGACACTTGGGACACAATTTTGACCACCAAGGGGAGGTGAGTTATCTGTGGCCATCATCCTTGACTTTGAAATTCTTTAGTGTAATATTGGAGCTGGCCACACGGGGGCAGTGCAGGACCGCAGTGGAGAGCGTAGCTCTGTGGTCCAGCTACTCGACCACTGAGTCCCCTCACCTAGACCAGGACTACTTAGACAACAAGTCTATTCATGATCCCATATTCAGTCCAAGCACACATGCCCTGTGGCCTGGCACTAGTGTGGTCCTTCAGAGAACCAGCCTGTCCCTGAAGGGCCAGCACATCAGACACCTACCGCTCTGTTGATGTGTTTCCTGACCAGAAGGTAAAGCAGAGGCAGTAAGACATACGCCAGCATCTCCCACAGCTTCCCAGTCAGCAGCATCCACAGGACACGGTCCTCAGCCTCCAGGTTGATCCAGCACCAGCCCACGGACACATCTGAAGCATCGTAGCCTATCTTCTTTAGAGAGACAGCGGCCACTGTGATGGCCAGTGGGACACCCCAGCTGAAGAATAACATGAAAAGAGAGGTGCCGAGGTTAGCCCATAACACCCTGCAGTGTTGTCATGGGCAAAAAATGACTGACTGGGGTCCTCTCTGCAGAGGGCAATGCTCCCCAAACCAGCATCAGATAGTGTGCTCCTGTAAATCAAGGGAGGGCAGGAAGGGCATGGGGGAGCCTGTTCTAACTTAGCGTTTCAGGACTTTGTGGCCTGGTCAGGAGAGTGATTGCATGAATGAAGCCCTCGGCTCAAACTCTAGTGCCACAGAAACTGGGCATGATAGTATATGCCTGTAACCTCAGGGCTTGGGAGGTGGAGGCAGACAGATCACTGTGAGTTCTAGGCCACCCTGGACTACACAGTGAGATGCTAGCCTGGGCTACAGAATGAGACTCCCTCAAAACAATCTCCCAAATGATACAATTCAGAGATCAAGATCCCTGGCTGTGGGCTGGAGAGATGGCTTAGAGGTTAAGGGCACTGGCTGTCTCCTGCTCTTCCAGAGGTCCTGAGTTCAATTCCCAGCAACCCACACAGTGGTTCACAACCACCAGTAATGAGATCTGATGCCCTCTTCTGGTGAGTAGGCATACATGCAGACAGAACACTGTATACATAATCAATCAATCAATCAATCAATCAATCAATCACTGGCTGCTCTTCCAGAAGACCCAGGTTTGATTCTAAGCACCCACATGGTAACTCACAACCATTTGGGGCCCAGGGGATTTGCCTATCCATAGCCTCTAATTTCCCATCCAGACCCAGAGAATCCACTCCCAACTCCTGTACCCCAAGAGCCCCCCAGGTTGCCAGGGGACTGGCTGAGGTTGTGAGTACTTAGGCCCAAACACAAATGCTGGTGTTTGCAGATTGCTAACCCCAGTTTCAGGGGATCCAATGCCCTCTTCCGGCATACACGTGGTAAGCAGACATACATGCAAAACACTCATATTGAAAAATAAAATAATTAAAAAGTAAAGGTTCAGTGCTCCTCAGAGAGGGGTGTGGCCAGACAGATCCAGCTCTTAGAAGCCTGGCTTCTCTCCCTACACCCAGAGGGGTGTGGACACCAGTATGCAAACATCAGCGTGCATGTCTGGGCTTCAACACTCACACCCTCAGTCAGTGCCCAGGCAACCTGGGAGAGCTTGGGGTTGCAGGATTTGGGAGAATCCAGAGCTAGATCACAGGCTATGTGTAGGCAAATCCCCTTGGCCCTAAGGCTTTCTTTCTTTCTTTCTTTCTTTCTTTCTTTCTTTCTTTCTTTCTTTCTTTCTTTCTTTCTTTCTTTCTTTCTTTCT